TTTTGGCCTTTCAGTTGGAAGGCTTGAAATGCCAAGCGTGGTCTGAAACGGCAGCGGATGTGAAGCTGCTGGCTCTCGTGGCTGCCAGTTGTTATGTCACTTGCTCTGACAGGTCATTGAGGTGCTGGAGGAAACCTGTGTGCCTCCATTAGGGCTCCGCCATGCGGCTCTGTCACGGCTGTGCTGTGCTGAAGCTGCTGGACACGCTGCACTTCTTAGTCATTTATTATATCAGTGTCATTCAATCTGCCAGAAATAGCACTGGATGCAGACTTGTGACTGTGTCCTGTGTGTTCAGAATAGACAGCACTGTTCACAGATATTGATGGCCTTTTCAGAAGAGTTGTGCCCATTCACTGCTTACAGCGTCACTTTTATTGCCACATAAATTTTAATATCACTCATATTTATTTCTGTTTCTTTTACATTATGTTAACATTTATTCATTTTGCAGATGCTTGTATGCAATTATACAAGGTGTTATACAGTTGAAGAACCTCAGCTCTCCTATGAAATTCTTTAAAAAATATTTCCAAATTGTTGCTTAACCGTGAGATTTATTTTTTAAACAAAATAGTTTTGATAACTAATTTCTAAATTTAAAAAAATTGTCTTTGCCATGATGACAGTAAATAATATTTTACTAGATAGAAGTTGTTAGGATTCAGCTTAATGTGCATATTAAAGACTTAACTAAATGATCATATTATAGGTAAGTTAGGATATTTATAGCGACGTTTTCGGATAACATTGGTTTGTCCTATTGACAATTGGAAAAATAATTATTTAAAAATATTGCTTAAGAGGGCTAATAATATTGACCTTAAAAATTTATTTAAAAAATTAAAAAACGCTTTTAAATGTAGCCAAACAAAAAAATATATAAATGAAATAATTTCCCCAGAAGAAAAAATGTTTAAAGGACATACTATGAAAATATTCTTTGTCTATTAAACATCACTTGCACAGGAAATATATAAAAAGAATACAATTTTCAGTGGAGGGCTAATAATTTTGACTATAACTGTATACATATTGTATAAACACTCACCAGCCACTTTATTAGGGACAGCCTACTAGAACCAGGTTAGAGCCACTTTTGCCTTCAAAACTGTCTTAATCCTTCATGGAATAGATTAAACAATGTACTGGAAATATTCCTCTGAGATTTTGGTCCATATTGACATGATAGCATCACACAGTTGCTGCAGATTTGTCGACTGCACATCCATGATGCGAATCTTCCATTGCACCACATCTTAAAAATGCTCTATTGGATTGAGCTCTGGTGACTGTGGACTGGAGGCCATTTGAATACAGGGAACTCATTGTCACTTTAATGAAACCAGTCTTAGACGATTCATGCTTTGTGACATGGCGTTTTATCCTGCTGGAAGTAGCTATCAGAAGATGGGTACAATGTGGTCATAAAGGGATGGACCTGGTCAGCAACAATATTCAGGCAGGCGGTGGCGATCCCCCCACGTTACACCACCAACAGCAGCCTGAACCATTGATACAAGGCAGAATGGATCCATGCTTTCATGTTGTTGATGCCAAATTCTGACCCTACCATCCGAATGTTGCAGCAGAAATCGAGACTTATCAGAGCAGGCCAGATTTTAACAATCTTCTATTGTCCAACTTTGGTGATCCGGTGCCAATTGTAGCCTCAGTTTGCTGTTCTTAGCTGACAAGAGTGGCACCCGGTGTGGTCTTCTGCTGCTGTAGCCCATCTGCCTCTAGGCTGGACGTGTTGTGCGTTCAGAGATGCTCTTCTGCATACCTCGGTAGACGAGTGATTATTTGAGTAACTGTTGCCTTTCTATCAGCTCAAACCAGTCTGACCATTCTCCTCAGACCTCTGGCATCAACTAGGCATTTGCGCCCACAGAGCTGGCGCTCACTGAATATTTTCTCTTTTTCGTACTCTTCTCTGTAATCCCTTGAGATGGTTGTGCATGAAAATCACAGTAGATTTAAAGTTTCTGAAATACTCAGACCAGCCCGTCTGGCACCAACTACCATGCCATGTTCAAAGTCACCTAAATCACCTTTCTTCTCCATTCTGATGCTTGGTTTAAACTGCAGCAGTTCGTCTTGACCAAGGCTGCGTCTGAAACCGCATACTTCCATACTATACAGTTAGCTAAAATCAGTATGTGACTCGAGTAGTATGTCCGAATTCATAGAATTCTAAAATCATTATGCGATAAGTACCCGGATGACTTATTACTTCCGGTATATATTTGTGTGTATGTGTGTGTGTTTATGTGTATATTGTTTCTAATCATAAACACTGTATGATTCATACAGACTGTATATTATATTTTTTATTTATTTTTCTATGTTTTAAGCATATCTTGTTTCCTAGGCCACAAAGTAAACCTGAACTGCCACTGCACGTGCTGTTGGGAATTAAAGGCAGTGAGACGTTACAAGTCTGTTACAAACACCAAATGAAAGGATTTTTTTTCACCTGTCACACTGGATTCCCAGATGCAGCTCTTTTGGTTGTCAGTGTTAGTCTCTCAGCAGTCGTGCTGTGTGTTTCTTTTGTGTGTCTGTGCCACTGAAGTTCTTCCGATCAAACACAGTCTAATACCATGGCTGATCCACGGCGCCGGGTTCTTTCGGCTCTGCCCAAACTCATCTTTCTGTTTTCAGGAAAGCACATTTTATATATCGCAGCCAAGACTGATGAAAGCTGACGATGTTGAATATTTAATGCAACAGAAAGAAAAAAACTATTTCTTTCACCCTAGAGGAGCTTGTAGACACACAAACTTTGAATCTTGAAGTCGACTGTTGATGCTGTAGACTGAAATACTGCTAGTGCTTTAAATGTAACTTCACCTCTAATCTCTATATCTCTATATTCAGTGATTACTGGAATGTCCCTTAAGACTCTTTAACATCATATCCATATGCATCAAAATGATTTGATTGATTGTTAAATTGATGAGCAATTAAAAAACAACAACAGATATATCTCTGTGTGTGTGTGTGTAAGTGTGTGTGTGTATATATGTATATATGTATATATGTATATGTATATATATTTAGTGAAACAAAGCAATATTTTGTGGTTATTCATATACATACAGTTGAAGAATTATTAGCAGGGTGCCAATTGGGGAGGTTAACTTTTTCGATAGTAGTTTAGTGATACATGCTTCAGTGAATCAAATGTACTCAAAATTGTTTTGTAATTTTACAGTTTATTTCTGTTAGCTAGGGTGCTGAAAAAAAAGTTAAATAACTGCTGTAAAATAGCAAACTTTACTGTAAATTAACAGAGGTTGAATTACAGAAATTTACCAAAAATTTTAAATTATGGAAATTTCTGTAATTTAATGTCCGTTATATTTTACGGTAAATTTCTCACAAAAATTGTGTTGTTTCAGCTCATTTTAAACACGTTTGAACAAAGAGCCAATGTTTTTTTTTTTTTTTTTTTGAGTGTACCAGCTTTTCAATTTCACAAGATTTTCCTGCAAAATACTTAAATCATAACAAATGAAAAGTGTGTTTTTTTTTACTAACTTTGTTATTCAGTAATCAGACCCTTATTAAATAAAACAAATATAATTCTACTTAAACCTACACTTAAAGGTGCTGTATGTAAGATTTTGACTCTTCTAAAGGACAAAAATACCATAATATGTTTGCAGACGTTTAGGAAACATGCTTTGTGAAAACAATACTGAAGTCAGATATTCTGCTTTGAAAATGTGTGTTACATACCGGAATGTCTGTCTTTGTTTTGGTCCCTTTAACCTGCCAACTGCCACTTTAGCCAATTATATTTCAGCACCCAGGGTTGCCTTTGTGGAAAACAGCGTATTCATTCAGCAACAGCCTCCAAAATGAGACCCAGATTCAGAGTTCCACCTGAGGAGGTTATTAACTAGAAAATAATATAAATATCACAAAAGTAAAAATTTGGTGAGCAGGTTACATTGTAACCCCGTGTCCTAACAACAAGGCAAGATATGGAGTGATAAGCAATTTGGCTGTTTGCACCAGATGAAACACGAAAGAAATTTTAATACAGCCATTCAGAAAAACAGCACACTCACTGCACTCCAATTAAATGGTAAGGTTTATAATGTAATTAATACATATTAAATCTCTTTACCATTAATAAATGCAGGCTACATGCTGAATCATTGATATTTGTTAGTCACAGTTGGAAAGTTCCATTTTAAATGGTTTATTTTATTTTCAAGATCTGAGGTGAACTGTCTGCTGCTGCTTTCAGTAGTATTTCAATAAACGTCATGTAAAATGGCATTCAAACTCACATTATAAGCATTTAACACTGAATAAGGCACATGAGCTGTATCTGAGGTGATCGTTGTCATAGTTTATTAAAAACTCCTTTTGATATGGTAAATATTCCTTCTATTGCGTGCCGCTGCTTTTATTTAGAACATGGTTTCTGTCTGCTTTTAGGCTTGATAGTCAGGCACACTCCTGTTGGTGTTGTCCATCTGGCAACCTGTGCTTGCGTGTGTTTTGAACCAGGAGTGCAATACCTAGTTTAAGCTCTAGGTGTCAATCATACTGCAGCTTTAATAAATCCAATCTAGAGAATTGAATTATGTTCTCTTAATTTGTTCCCATAGCTATAATGCATACTATATACAGTATATAATAAATAACACAGGAAGTTACCACCAGCTACAATTGCAACATTTGTTTTTCTTTTTACTAAAATACATGATTTCTCATTTCATTTATTTGTTATATTTTCTGACTGAGAAAATGAACATATTGCAATTGCCCCATCTCACCCTACTTATAATCTCTTGCAGTAATTTCATTCAGACTCATTTTTAATAACTTGATCCATTTCTCATTATTTACTAATGAACTGTTTACCCCCGGAGCTTTGTGATTCCCTCTTACCCATCCTAAATACATGTGTACTGTTGCAGCACAACATTCTGATTCATGCGTCTTTTCTCTTCTCTTCTGTTTCTCTTGGCTTTTAGATTATTTGAAACACTTCAGTCTCTGTTCTGGTCTGTTTTTGGCCTCTTGAATTTGTATGTCACCAATGTAAAGGCTCGGCATGAGTTCACAGAGTTTGTTGGAGCCACCATGTTCGGCACCTACAATGTCATTTCGCTGGTGGTTCTGCTCAACATGCTGATCGCAATGATGAACAACTCCTACCAGCTCATTGCTGTGAGTACTGATCCAAATAATGAAAATGGCAGACATACAGTTGAAGTCAGAATTAATAGCCCCCCTGTGAATTTTTTAGATTTTAAATATTTCCCAAATGATGTTTAACAGAGCAAGGAATTTTTCACAGTTTCCTACAGTATTTTTTCTTTAAGAGAAAGTTTGTTTTGTTTTATTTTGGCTAGAATAAAAGCAGTTTTTAATTTTTTAAACCATTTAAGGTCAAAATTGTTAGCCCCTTTAAGAAATTTTGTTTTGATGGTCTAGAGAACAAAACTATCGTTATACAGTGACTTGCCTAATCACCCAAACCTGCCTAATTAACCTTGAAAAAATATCTTGAAAAACATCTAGTAAAACAATATTTAATGTCATCATGGCAAAGATAAAAGAAATGAGTTATTAGAAATGAGTTCTTAAAACTATTATGAAAAATCTAAGTTCCGTAAATAGAAATAGGGTAAAAAATATACAGGGGGCTAATAATAGTGACTTCAACTTTATTTGAAGATGATCAGTCAACAAATTGCATGCTGTTAGCTATTGTACAACTTGATTTATTTCATCAAATATCATGTAAACTTTTGGTTTCAATTGTATTAGGGTTTAATATTATGTTTTTTATATTAAATAGGTACTTTTGGTCAACTTAATTCATAAAATTGCTTCAGCTCTCTAAGTAAATTAAGAGCATCAAAAAGGTTCTTTTTTACTTTTTATAGCTGTATTAAACTTTTCATATGCCACTGTTAGTATGAATTCTAATGCCAACTACCAAATAAGATATTTACAATTTAGTCAAGTTTATTTATAAACAGATTTCGAGAGGATCACGTTCTTATGATTGTTCATAGCTTTACCAACTTTAGCTAATAACTGATTATCCTATCAGAGATCCTTACCTCACTATAAATAACCAGACTTTTCTCATCTCAATATCTTCGTCTTGAAGAAACCCCCCCTCCCAACCCTAATTTCTCTTCTTTCAAACGGGCGTCACGGTGGCCAGTGATTAGCACTGTTGCCTCACAGTAAGAATGCCCCTGGTTTAATTCCTTTCCAAACCAGACAGCATTTCTGTGCGAAGTTTGCTAGTTCTCCCCGTGGTCGCGTGGGTTTTCCCCGGGTCCTCCGGTTTCCTCCCACAGTTCAAAAACAAGCACACTAAACAATTAATCCAAAATATTTTAGCTAAACTCTGAGTACACCTTCAGCATCCATATCTGACACTTAGCTACAATAAGCAGGAGGGTGAGTCATCGAGATCTACCTGAGCTCAAACTCCCCTCTCGCCTTGCAACGGGAGGGAGCCCAGGGCGCGAGGATCTTATAAGCTCAGGGCTCTCTCCCGGGACAGCACGCCAAACTAGCTTTATTATCAATCATCAGCTAAGTGTGAACTCTTGAAATACAACTTGTAAACACTAAACATACTCGCACTAAAGTATGATTTTTTTTAACAGATTTTTTTTTTAACTGAGTTTTGTTTAGTCTACATATTTACCTATATATTGTTTACAGATGAGGTCTGTATCTGCTCACAGAAGCATATTAGGGCAATTCATCTGTTAAGAGTTAACAGTTAAGCCACTGATATCTTTCAGGTAACGTTTTTCATGCACTAAAATCAAAAGTGACTGCCGTTAACCATAGCTATTCAATCATTCACTCATTCATTCTCCTTCAGCTTAGTCTCTTTAACCATAACAGTACAAGACAACTTGGAAACAGTGGAAGCACAAATGCAAATTTGAACATTCCATTGTGATCATACTGTTAATGTTTAATATATAGCTGACTATAATGAGGTCTGAATTTTCCATGATTATCGTTCTTTAATCACACGCTATCATTGTCGTATATAATATTGTATATGATATAAGACTACACACTATTCAGTTTGTATCATTAATAAATCTTTCATCATAGGACCATGCTGACATCGAGTGGAAGTTTGCTCGGACCAAGCTGTGGATGAGTTATTTCGATGAGGGAGGGACGCTCCCCCCACCGTTCAACATCATCCCCAGTCCCAAGTCATTCTGGTACCTGTGCCGATGGGTTCACGGGCGGCTCTGCGGGTCGGAGACTGCTCCACCTGAAGAAGACACGCATAAACATGAAAACCTGAAAGAGTTCACGGTAAAGAAAGCAGTCCGCATCCATCTGAACATCGTGGCTGTGATTTTCATCTGAATCTGATCAAGTGGTTCTGGTTCAAAATGACACTTTCAGCACAATGCAGCTGGCTCATTGTGTAACCAATTACCCATTACAATGACTAACAGCACAGGCACACACATATATCAGCACATCAAATGCTAAAACGGCTCATTTACATTTTTATTGCTTTTGAACTGTTGGTTTTTGACTCATAGTGGGATGCAGTAATTGTATTTAGACTGGTATCATCATGCATTGCTTTCAGGTATCCTTGGGTGAAAGAAATATACACAAAAATCTTTGACTTTAACCAAGACAATGACTTTAAAGGCGAGCATATTCAAATAACATTTGATCAGATACTCTTCTACCGATGGGGATCTCCAATTGGAGTCAGAAACAGTGACATCAGTGTGTGGTTTGTCAACAACACCATGCAACTGAAAGGGATAGTTCACCCAAAAATCATTACTATCTTCCACTTGTTCTAAACCTTTACGAGTGTTCTTCTTCTGTAGAACACAAAAGAAGATATTTTGAAAAATGTAGGTTGCTGTGACCCATTGATAGTATTTTCATTGCTTCTGTGGAAGTTAATATGTCGCAGCAGCTGGCATTCTCCAGAATATCTTCTTTTGTGTTCAACAGAAGAAACTCATAAAGGTTTAAAATCGAATTATGGAGAATAAATGATAAGGTAATTAAAATTTTGGGGTGAATTACCCCTTTAAACAGATCATTAAATATTGGGACATAGACAATTCTAACATTTTTCGACTCTATACACCAACACAATGGATTTGAAATGAACTCTGGACCTTTTATCTGCTCATTGTAATTTGCTCATTGAAACCTTTGTTTTTTTTTTCTGTAGAACACAGAATAAGATGTTTCAAAAAATGCTGGTAGTTATGAACCATTGATAGTATTTTTCCCTACTATAGAAGTCAATGTGTCGCAGCAACTGGCATTCTCCTGAATATCTTCTTTTGTGTTCAACAGAAGAAAGAAACTCTTAAGGGGTTAAAAATTTTGGGGTAAATTAACCCTTTAAACCAGGGATCTCAAACTGCCAGCTCACCCTCCTCCTCCCTCTGGCCTGCAATGCCCTAAACAACCCCCAACCCCGCTCCTCTGTTCATGATCGTCCATCAACCCCACGTTCTTTAGTCCACGACCATCAATCAGGTTTTCGCCTTCCTCACGATCATCAACCCCTCACACTTGTTGGCTTTCTCAGCACATGCCACTGCATGGTACTACATCAGACTCAACCCGCCCCCCCCAAACCCCTTTCCCAGTCTTAACTTCATGCGATCACAAGTGTCATTTACGGATGTTAAGAAGACCCTCCTATCACTTGTCAGTCCCTGAAATGGCCCCCCGCCCAGTTAAGTTTGAGACCCCTGCACACTTTTTTATCATCTCATTGTAATTGGGATAATGATAGAATAACACACACTTGACCATGAAACAGTGCAGAAGCCAATTGTCCAATTAATTTTGGTCCCCTAACAAGTGGGAGGGACCTATTGAAACTGTTGTAATTCCTACAACGTTCACCTGATTTGGATGTAAATACCCTCAAATTAAAGCTGACAGTTTCATTTCAAATCCATTGTGTTGGTGTATTGAGCCAAAAATGTTAGCATTATGTCGATGTCCCAATATTTATGCACCTAACCGTATATGCGCATATACAGTAATTGGGTATACTGTGCATAATATGACCATGGAGTTGCAATTTACATTAATATTTAAAGGAAAGTACAGCATACACAAACATTACACCAAGGTTTTGGGTCCGTCTTTTGCTAACTGGTGCTGCATAACTTAATACAAATACAGGTAAAACTGTGAGAATACTAATGATCTCTGTTTTAATATATTTGAAAATTCCTTCATTGGCTTAGTCCCTTTATTAATCAGGGGTCACCACAGCAGAATGAACCTCCAACTTATCCAGCATATGTTTTACACAGCGGATGTTTTACACACAAACACGGGGAGAACATGCAAACTCCACATAGAAACGCCAACTGACCTAGCTAAGGCTTGAACCAGCGATCACATTGCTGTGAGGCAACAGCGCTACCCATTGCGCCACCACACCACCACTGTTTTAATGTATTTAAAAATAATTAAAGTAATTTATTCCTGTGATGGCAAAACTGGCATGAGTGGAAATCCTGCTATGGCAAAGGCATGAATAATAATTAGGTTAGATAACCAAAAAGGTTACCTAGCAACATTTGCATGACCTAATTAATATTCATGAGAAAGGTCTTTGCCATTACCTTGACATCACAACCAGTGTGTCAAACCCACCCTCCCCCTATAACTTGATCCACTGCTTTCATTCAGACCGGTCTGAGCGTTAGCAAATTTCGTTTCAGTTAAATCAGTGAGGTGAAATTTCATATGAATTAATTAAAGTTCCATGAAAGGAGATTCTTTTATTCAACAAGTTTATACTTCTCCTTTGATGATGATGTAATGAATTGTAACATGGCCCGAGTCTGTCTGGAGTTTAACCTCCTGTGTTGCCATGCAACCCCCCCTTTAAACACCTGGGACTCTCGTCATCTGTGTTTCGAATATAACCTCGCTTGTTCCACCTGACGCACTTTTATTACAAATCCATCTCTCTACACGGCCTTTATTGGTCTGCATCAATAGGGATGTTCATGTACTCCCCTCTCTTTCTCAAACTGTCATTCACACACACATACACACACAACCAAAGCACACTCACTCAAAACTCTCTCCCACATGTTTGCTGGCATTTGCTGTGCTGGGATCAAACCTTGATCATTATATAAAGCTGCCTACATGTAGAGCTAAGAGGAGAGCTGCTTCCCTGCAATATCTGACAAGAATACTAAAGATCTCTCACGGCTCATACTGTAAAATTACAGTCCTGGACACGTTATAGGTAAACCTGTTCATTGCAAATGAAAAACAGCCAATGATATGGCAGCAATGAGGATCTTCTGCAATTCAAACTGAGCATCAGAATGGGGAGGAAAGGGTTATTGCTGCCAGACAGCTGGTCTGAGTGTTTCAAAACACTGATCTACTGGGAATTTTCTCGCACAGCAATCTCAAGGGTTTTAAAAAGAGAAAATATCCAGTGAGCAACAGCCCTGTGTGCAGAATGTTCTTCTTGTTACCACAAGTCAGTGACTAGATTGTTAGATTGCTTCTGACTGCAATTAATTCAGATAAATTATTGACCTTATTCTTCGTAAGTGCGCTCATTTTTGTGATTGTTTTAGAACTTCCGATTCAGTTGCCTATGAGAGAAATGATTAGGAATAATATATAGCAGAAAACGGTCAAACTGCTTGCTCTACAAACAAGTGTGTGCATGATTATACATAAAAAGTAGAATAATATAATAATAAAATATCGGTTTGCAACATCAAGCAGCAAAACGAACTGTTGTTAACATCTAAAAATGAATGGAAGTGAATGAGACCGGAAGTCTTGAGCCAAAATGATTCAAATGGCTGCGCCCATTCATACACGGAGAATAAGGTCAATAACCGAGGCCTGCAAAAAAGCATCTCTCTTTTATTGGACACAACATGTCAAATACTTCAAATGCACAGTAACTGATGAGGCAGCCTGATTGTGATGTAATTTATTTATTTATTTTTTTTATCAGATTAGTGGCTAATTTAGAGTTCAGTCATGTGAAAATATACAATTTCAAAAAGGAGGCATGGGACTTAACCCCACTTCTAAATCCAACCATCATTGGGGATAAGCAAATCGTATTAAATAGTTTGAATGTGCTCGTATAAATTAGACACTGAATCAAAAAAGTTACAAATTGCCATGAGATTGTGTTGGAGGAGGCTACAATTCACACCAGCTCAACACAATTGGACACATAAGAGTGGAAAAAGGTCTGATGTGGTTATAGTAAAACAACGCATCACAAAGCTCTGATCATCTCTGACTAATATATCTTTAACATGACAGTAAGTTCAGTGTGGTCAAAGGGTCTTCACAGTCAGGAATTGGAGATTAACATGGAAGATGTGCAGCTGACAAGTCTGATGTAATTGTTGTGATATGAGGAATGTTTTCAGCTCATTGTTGAATCTACAGTATGCCGTGATAATTTAAGGTAGTTCTGAAGGCAAAAGTGGGTCCAACCCAGTACTAGCGCACTGTGATAAATATCCAAAAATTAGCAATTTTCCATATTTTAAGATTCATGTTTTGTTGTGTTCCCATTTTATTTATGCTTTTGAATTGCATTATGAGACCTTGATCTTTTTTTTCCAACAACTTTTAACCTTGAAAAGTTCAAAAAAGTGATTTTTATTAACATTTTGTATAGTTTAAAGTGATTTATTGTCTGAGTTGGTGTATATTATGATAATAAACTGCCAGTGCATTTTCTGTTGTTTTACAGACGTATTTCTTCTTAACAACTTAAATGTCAATAAAAGTCACTTTGTTCACATGTACAGTTGAATTTTTAACATAAAGTTGACAGAGCAGAGATCAACATCCTATAATGCAATTCACAACAGTAATTAAACAGAAAACCCTAGTGATTCACAAAATATGGAAACTGTTAATTAACAAATTTGTTTTTGCAGTGCAGGCTGTGCTTAATAAAGTGGCCAGTAAGACTATAGTATACACAAGTGTACATCAGATTTCATCTTTAGATTGTGCACATGTCAATATTTCAGTCGGAAGTATCTGCTGGACTAATACATCTCAATACAATAGACAATGACATTCCCACATGCATGGGAATTTGCATTGAAATAGCTTCGGAGAATTGTGATTGATATCCTCATTGTATGAAAGAGTCGATATAAAACTAAGATTGTTTCTTCATTTCCATGAAATTAGCTACCAACTGACAATGAGAATTTTGTTGGAGAAACGTCAAGCAGCCTGAATGTCCAACCAGCGGTTTAACAGCATCAGCAGATTCAACAAGTTTCTTCTACCGACAGTAAAGACATTTAAGTTATTAAAGACAATGAGACAGTAAGGAATATAAATTAATAGTTGCTTCAATAAATCTGAAACAAATATATTGCAAAGTTACATTTTTATTCAACTTCAATTTTGATACATTTTTAGTTAATTATTCTGCAATTTAAGTACAATAATGACTAGAGATGCACCGATGTATCGACCAACAATCAGTATCGGTCGATATAAGCTTTTGCCATCGACCGATTATTTAAAAACGTAGTGCCGATATATCCTGTCAGTCAAATTGTGCAGGAATGTGATGCGCTGTGTCTCTTGTGTGGAATTACTTTGAAGTAAGTCACAATGAGAACAAAACTGTCATTTGTAAGCTATGCACAGCTAAAATTTCGTAAGGTGAAATTTCTGTTAAACATTTTACCAATAAAATAAATTGATTACACACTTTAAATGACTTGCTCGCGCAAGTGTTTGACAGCACCCGAAAATTCAAATCTGAAAGCAAGAAAGCACGTGAAATTACTCGGAAAGTAATGGAATATATTGTGCTTGATGATTAGCCATTCTGTTTATGAGACCATTCTCTGTGAAACAGCTGTTCAATTAGAGAAAAAAGTTTTACATTCATTATGTTCAGAATGATTGAACTTTTGGAATTATTATGGGTAATTAATTAAGTATAAAATGAAGAACCATTAAACTATCGGTATCGACATTGGTATCGGCAGATAGCACTCTAAACAATCGGCTATCGATATCGGCTGAGAAATTTACTATTGGTGCATCTCTAATAATGATGGGAACTACTGGGTGACAAAAAAGTCATTCTTAATTCTACACTAAATTCTACACTAAATGATGATAAAAATGTATTAGACTATTTCCCAGCACTGGGTTGTGGCTGGAAGCGCATTCGCTGCATAAAACGTATCCTGGAATGGTTGGCGGTTCATTCCTTTGTGAAAACCCCTGATAAATAAGGGACTAAGCCGAAAGAAAATGTATGAATAAATGAATGTATTATACTAAATTCATTCAAACTTTTGTGCCCTGTTGATATGTCAGTTGTACAGTAAGTATTAGGGAAACACAATGACACAGTTTCTTGTGGATGACCCGGGCATTTAATTGAATAATTACCCAACAATCAAAGAAAAAATCTCATGTATTTAATTAAGTTAATGAGCGCAGTTTCCCTGAATAATTACAGTGTGAATTCTTGTTTCTCCTTTCAGGAAAAGCATGCGGACAGGCTTATACAGAATCAGCATTATCAGGTATGCCAGCAGATAAAGCTCTGCTATCACACACACACGTGAGAATACAAACAATGTGCATGTAATTGCATTACAGCGCTTCGCCTCTGGCTTTGTTTCCTCCATCTCTGCTTTCCCTTTGCACCGTCACACTAAGGATTCAGCTGTACATTTCCAGATTAACAAGATTAGGGAGTTCCGTCTGATTGCTTGCGTTCTCTTCTTCTCCTTCAACCCCTCAGGAGGTCATCCGGAGTCTAGTGAAGAGGTACGTGGCTTCGATGATCCGCAGCGCTAAGACGAGCGAAGGGCTGACGGAGGAAAATTTTAAGGTGCTTCTAAAACCGACTGCTCTCTTTATCTTGCTTATTAAAATGCATGTTTGCTCAGAGAAATAGATGCAAAAAGAATGACCCAGTGTTTCCACACAGTCTGTTATATTTAGTTCTTATCAATTAAACTGTCCAAAATGAACTGTTCATTTAATTTAATTTAATTTCACATCTCTTAATCACTACATTTATTTATTTATTTATTTATTTATTTATTTATTTATTTATTTATTTATTTATTTTTTTTTTATGCATTTATGGATTTATTTACTTAGGCATTTATTTATTTAGGCATTTATTTATCTATGCATTTATTTATTTAGCCATTTATTTATTTATTTTGGCAATTATTTATTACGGTATTTTTATTTAGGCATTTATTTATTTATTTAGACATTTAATTATCTATGCATTTATTTATTTATTTAGGTTTTTTTTTTTATTTAGGCATTTATTTATTTATATAGGCATTTATTTTTTTATTTAGGTAATTATTTATTTTTTTATGTTTATTAATAAACAGTAAAAACGGAAAATAAGACAGAGTGTTGCCAGATTAAAAAAATAATACACATACAACCTGACAAAAGAGAGTTTTGTCGTTAATCCCAGTTGTAAGAGCAACAAATAATAATGTGACTTCTAGTTGATCATTTGGAAAAGTGGCAGAAGGTAGATTTTTCTGATGAATCATCTGTTGAACTGCATCCCAATCATCTGAAATACTGCAGAGGATCTATTGGAACCCACCTGGACCTAAGATTCTCACAGAAATCAGTCAAGTTTGGTGAAGGAAAAATCATGGTTTTTAGTTACATTTAGTATGGGGGCATGCGAGAGATCTGCAAAATCGATGGCAACATCAGCAGCCTGAGGTCACAAGACATTTGTGCTGCCTATTACATTACATACACAGGAAAAGACAAATTCTTCAGCTGGATAGCACTTCTGATACTTTAGCTTCCAAATCAAAGTTCCTGAAAGTAAAGAAGGTCAAGGTGCTCTAGAATTGGCCAGCCCAGTCACCAGACATGAACATTATTGAGCATGCCTAGGGTAAGATGGAGTAGGCATTAAAGATGAATGTCCTGCAAGAAAGTTTCTTTGCCATTACAGATGACTTTATTATTAAGTTATTTAAGTCATTGCAGAGATGTATGGATGCAGTCTTTAAAAATGTTTATTTAAATTTTTTAAATTGTGTTTTATATATTAATTTTATTAATATATAATATATAAATTAATAGTAATATAAATTAACAAATAATAATAAATAAATAAATAAATAAACATTAATATAAATTGATATATTAACATATAAATTAATATTAATTAATTTGTGTTGTATGAATCCATTTTCCCAGAGATGGGTTGCGGCTGAAAGGGTATCCGCTGCGTAAAAACGTGCTGGATAAGTTGGCGGTTCATTCCGCTGTGGCGACCCTGGATTAATAAAGGGACTAAAATGAATGAATGAATAAATGTATAAATCAATTATATACACACACACACACACACACACACACACACACACACTATAAAAATGCTGGGTTCCACACAATTCCATCATGTTGTCCCAACACAAACTGATTATCTAAAACAAATTTAAGTGGATTGAACAAAAAACAATTAAGTTGTCCCCAAAAAAAACTCAAGAATTGCATTGATTCAGCTCATTTTAAATATACAATGTCAATAAGCGGCAAAAATAATTTTTTTGAGTGCACACACACACATGCACTGTATATCTTTTCTGAATGCGTTTCATAATTCTGCGCTATCTTTCTGCTGTAGGAGCTAAAACAGGACATTTCCAGCTTCCGCTACGAGGTTTTAGACCTTCTCGGCAACCGAAAGCCTCCCCGGCGGAACTATTCATCCAGCAGCGAGGCCACACTTCGAGACGAGGTCAGCGACGACGGCGAAGCCCGTCATCACAGTGACGGGAGCAGCATCGGAGCCAAGGGCGTCTCTTTCAAAACCATCACACCTTCGGATCCATCGTACGGGGTCTCTGCCCTCTTCCACTCCATCTCCGGAATGGAGGCCGCTGGGACGACAAGAGAGGGTAAACCAAAGATCAATGGACTGAGGAAGAACCCCTCGCCCTCCTCTTCCCTCTCATCAGTGGCTCCAGCGAGAGCTCCAGCACTTTCACGGACTTGGAGGCGATTTTCCCGCTTCTCGAGCTCCAAGAAGAACTCTTTCAGACGGCTCGGACTGCTGTTTTCTCGCATGGGCAGCCACCTTCCACAGCCCACAGGCGTTACCGCTGCAACCTACACTATCTCAGATGGTTTGCTTCACCCGCCCGGGGCTTGGCATGACTTGGGCTTTACCAGGGGCGACGGCCCTGTCACCAGAAGTGAGACCAACCTTAATCAGGTGGCAACTTTAAATGAGGGTGGCATTGGCATTGGTGGAAGTGGTGTTGGAATGTCGACCAATGGACAGAGAGCTAACGGGAGGGATGTTTTACTAACATTAGGACCTCTGTCGCCACCTTCTTCCCTGCACTGTGCTTCCAGTTTCTCCGCCTCCAGCTCCCGCCTCCTGGACTCAAACGAGGACGTGTTTCAGGGATTGGTCGGGCCCTGCGTTGGACAAATGCCACACTCCTCCTCCTGCTGGGTTACGGAACAGGACGATTCGGTAACCACGCAGCTATAGTATTGCTAGTCTGTACTGTACAGCACTTTGATAATAACAATAATCATCAATGATATCAATAACTATTACCTTAACGACAACCGATCCTTCTGTTTGTTTTGTTTCTTTCGTTTGCTGCTGCAATATTTGTCATTTCTCTCTGAGATTTAACCAAATCTAAAGTCATTTTTGAGACAGATGGGATGAGTAAATGAAACGAGAGACGGCGATAGATTCAGAACGGACAGAAAAGTGCCACGATCAGCATAGCAGGAGGACGCAGGCCAGGCTGCATCTTTGTCTTCGTTACATAACATCTTTTAAGCCAGTAGATTGTTTGTTTCGTTCCAAAACAGGGACATCATTTGATTTGCATCTTCTTTTTGGTTTAGTTCAAAGAGTACAACTCTCTCCTTATTAGTGCACCTGCCATCGGTCAAAATAGATTGAAAGTTCACCTCATTGTGGCTTTATCTGTAGCTGTTTTAATCAGGCCACAGATTAAAATGGCTCTCTCACTGACCACTACTACTCCTGACTGCCCACATTTTGTTGGAATACCACAAATAGGCTAATGTAGGGCTTTTCTAGGTCAGCAATTGCAGGATGGTGTTATTATAAAAACCTGGCAAACAGGTAAGTAAAAGCCATCATTTCTGCTCTAACTGATTAATTATATATTTTATTAGGGGCACCTATGATGAAATCATCTTTTGTAGGCTGTTTGGACAGAACTATGTAGGTATAGTCTGTTCACAGTTACAGGGGGGATATTAAGACAATAACGTGATGTAGAAGTGTGGTTTACCCACCCACCGAATTGATTGACAGCCTCATATTAACATGTCTTCGTAGTAACGCATACTGTATAATCATATCAACAAGCCATGATGTGCGCAAAGCAACTGGGCTTAAAAGATCTGTTCAGCGCTCTGTGATCATCAATCATCATCAAATGTGATCAAAAATGAGTTTACAAGTTTAAAACGTTTTTAAAGCAGTGCATGTTTGTAATAAAGACAGTAAAATCACTGTAAATCATCACCACAGTCAGTACAGTTATAAAAGAAGACGCTTCAATCGTGGTTTTTGGATGTTAAATCAGGTTTATTTTGTACATGAACTTAATGGATGTCCATATAGCAGTGGATATTAACATGTATCCTGTCACATTTGCATGCAAAAACAGTGGCAAGTTAAATGCGCCGCTGTGTGTGTGTGAACTTTGTAACAACATTGTGTTTGACTCATCATTGCAGAAAGGCTTGAATTAATGCCACAAGAAATACATCAAATTAATAATCCTTGAGAAATTTCTTACTGTAGTTTTTTTTTTTAACGTGAGATGTGCCTTTATGTTTGTCACTGTGCTGTTTATCTAATGCAGCCGAGGTGGAGATTGAGGCACACTCTGACAGGCACGTGGAAACTGTGGGCAGGGAGAACTACCATTAAAGGCACAGGCAACAAAAACAGCTACAAAGTGATTAAAGCAGACAGTACCAAATATTCTGAAAGATATAATAAATAATCTGATGGGTCTTTTGAGCTGAAACTTTACAGACACATTCTGGAGACACAAAAGACTAAAATCTAGAAAAGGGGGTAAAACAGGTGCCCTTTAAATCCCTAACATGATATATACCTTATTAAACAGTTAGAGCAGGAATTAAGGCTCCGTCAGGACAGTGTAGTTGTAATGCTTGAGGAAGAGGAAATGGTTTTCAATTAAGATTGCTAACTTGCAGAATGAGACTCTCTTTTTATGCAACACATTTCTCGTTATGAAATATGATATCACTTGGTGGATTGAGTTGTGATGCTTTCTAACACCAATCAAGTTCATTTTTGGACAAAACTAACCAAACGAATCAACCAAAAGCACCAGGTTCAGTAACAAACAGTCCATATGAGCCAAGTGAGAAAGTGCTCTTAAAGCAGGGGTGTCTAAACTTGGTCCTGGAGCGCCGGTGTCCTACAAAGTTCAGTTCCAACCTCAATCAGGCACACCTGGTCTAGCTAATCAAGCTCTTACTAGGCTTTCTAGAAACATCCTGCAGGTGTGTTTAGGCAAGTTGGAGCTAAAATCTGCAGGACACCGGCCCTCCAGGACCGAGTTAGGACACTCCTGTCTTAAAGGTGCAGTAGGTGATTGTCTTCAGAAGCATTTGTTGTTGTGCTGGTTGAAAGTCTCTTCACAGTCTAATAGTAATGATTAAAGTAAATAATCTAAATGTACTTATTTGTATTTTTATATTTTGGGTAACAAAAACAAAAATGTTCATCCAATTAAATAGAGTCGGACCGACATCTCTCATAATTCCGATAAGTAGTCCAATCTGTCTGTCAGCAAATGCAGATTTGAACAACTGCGCAGCCGTTTGTACGCAGCTCCGCCGACTGCTGGACGTTTGCGATTGGTAAAAATCTGCTAAATCAAAACTTTTAAAAAACCTGAGTCAATATTGGAGTTACCTTTGTACGCTGGAGAAAGGATAACACAATGGCTGAAGGATTTCTCTTAGACAGGTAATGTTCTGTTTTAAAACTGTTTTAGCTTAACGCAAAGCTGATGTAACGTTAGATGTTGTTGTTACAAATGGGTTATATCTTCACAGAAGTGTTGTTCAGCCACTAAAATCTTCCGATGAAAGATTGATAAGACTGTTTTCAGTTTCATAAGGGACCTTTTACAGCATCGATAATGTAGATTTTAATTAGTTTAACAACAAAACACAAATAAATACCGCTATTCCGCCTAGTCAAGGCGGAGGGACTGTGATTGAGAGATAAGCTGTAAGCATTGTGGAAGATCACCTACTGCACCTTTAAAGGAATAGTTCACCCAAAAATCATTATTAACAGACCCTTGTCTCATAAAGGGTTTTGTTCCACTAACTGATTTTGCTGTATTATTTCATAACACAAAAGCATTTTTAACAATATTTGTAACAAAACGGCTTAATTCTGGCCAATTTAAAAACGACCTTGTTCTGTTAGATGTCACTTGGGAAATATTTGAAAAATAATTGAAGTTTTTAATAATTTAGCCTTCGACTTTCTATAAAGTACATTTATTACACTTGTGATTTATTATCTTTGCATATAATTGCAGAAAACTAGTTTAGTGGGGGTGGCACGGTGGCTCAGTGGTTAGAAGTCACCTCGCAGCAAGAAGGTCACTGGTTTGAGGCCTTACTAGGCCACTTGGCGTTTCTGTGAGGAGTTTGCACGTTCCTCCCATGTTTCTGTGAGTTTCCTCCGGGTGCTCTGGTTTCCCTCACAGTCCAAAGACATGCGCTATAGGTGAATTGGGTTAGCAAAATGTTCTGTAGTGTATGAGTGTAAATGTAAGTGTGTATGGGTGTTTCCCAGTGATGGGTTGCAGCTGGAGGGCCTAAAACAAATGCTGGATACCTTGGCGATTCCTTCCACTGTGGTTACTTCTAAAGGGACTAAGCCGAAAAGAAAATTAGTCAATAAATGTTTTAGTTGTTTAGGGGCGGCATGGGGGTTCAGCAATAAGCAGTCGCCTCACAGCAAGAAGGTCGCTGATTTAGTCCCGGCTGGGTTAGTTGACATTTCTGTGTGGTCTTTGCATGTTCTCCCTGTGTTCGTGTGGTTTTCCTCCGGGTGCTCCAGTTTCCACCACAGTCCAAAGACATGCATTATAGGTGAATCGGATACAGAAATTAGCCTTAGTGTATCGGATAAGTGAGTGTGTGTATGAATAGAAGAGTGTATGGGTGTTTCTCAGTACTGGATTGCGGCTGGAAGGGCATTCAATGTGTAAAACATATGCTGGAATAGTTGGCGGTTCATTCCACTGTGGATAAATAAGGGACTAGGCTGGAGGAAAATGTATGATTGAATAGTTTAGTGGGTGTTGCTAATATAATGCTTGCTGGCAAATTTAACACCTTTCTTACTTCTGAACAACATAATCTCAATGTTCAGGAAAAACTTAATCCCTATTGTGGATTTTTATTTTTTTATTTTGCTATTGTGGTAAATAGGAATGCAAAAACCAAAAGTTTTAGAAATGACCATTCTACCCTATTCAGAAGGTAGTGTTTTACCAGAGAGATGCAAGGGATTTTCTCTGCTTACAGGGGCTAGTTGATGATGTTTATTGCCACCTGACTCCAGGATGTTGGTGTATTCCTCTCACCGCCTGCGTAAAATTCCCCAGCCGAATTACACGACAAACAGCAAGGTCATGTGGTGATTTAACGGCCACACGAATCTGAAAAAGCAGATCAATCCAAAAGTCATTTTGTAAATCATTTTTAACAGCTTATGCTTCTGATAAATGTGAAAAGCCAAGAGATTATCAGAGAGGAACAGTACATTTTTGGGTGAACTATGCTTTTGTTTAAAATTAACATGAAGATGATTATTTATTTCCTTAATACATATTCCTGATATGATTATGTGTTATTTATTAGTGAATGTTCCATCATCTGTCTTCATCAAGATTCCTTGTATTTAAGCTGACTGATATTATTGGACAATGTCACATTGATTGTGCAGGCTATTAATATTAGCCTTTTTACATCTCATTATGAATGTTATGTATATTTAACATTCATTTAAAAGGTTATAACAATGAATTCCAAGAACTGACAAATTTGCACATTTTGAAATGCAAAACTTGGCCTTTATGTACAAAAAGCACCACCCTGCTCTGACATTGCACAAATGTGTCAGTGCCAGCTTTCTATATGAAAATATCAGTGCTGGACAATGATTCATTTTAAAAATCGCGATTAATTGTACGGTGGTCTATGATTAGGCCCACACAGAATCTGCGCACGCAAAATTCCGCAGATTTTCGTCAGAATTCCAATTTTAGCCCATCATTAATTCTGTTTATTTACCTGAGTAAATGTGTGTGAATCTATATTTATTCAGTTTTTAAGTAAATTACAGTAATATTATTGACTAATATGAAAATGTTCATCTGATTAATGTACAATGCAATTTGTAAAGTAATATTTTCTGTCTTTTATTAGAGATATTATATGAGAGACTTGCTTTGTTAACCAAATAAAGTGAAAGTAATTAGATTTGCATTTTAAACATTAAATAAAAGTTAAAAATATATAATTCTTTATTTCACATATTAAGGTTTTTGTTATGATACTTTCAAAATAATTCTGCAGAAATCCGCAGATTTTTACCAAAATTTACGTTTTTACCAAAAAACGTCCGCAGATTCCGTCTGGCATCATCTATGATTAATCATAATTAATGCATTGTTGTGCGAAAAAATCAGTACAGCTTTTAAAAGAAGTGCATGTAATGTGCAGTAGGTGATTGTCATCAGAAACATGTTTTGTTGTACCGGTTGAAAGTCTCTTCTCATTCCACTAGTAATGATTAAAGTAAATGTGTTTAAATGTATTTTCATATTCTGGGTAAGGCATAGGACTAAAAAATGTTCATTTAATTAAAATTTGTCGGGCCGACAATTTGCATAATGCCGCGGTCACATTAAAGTTTGTGCATGCGAAATTCTGTTGTACGACGCTGCGAAAAGGGGCGGGATTGAACAAGATGATTGGACAGCGGTAAAAACAAATGCTGAATCAATGTTGGAGTTACTTTTGCTCACTGGATGAAGGACGATGATGTGCCGATGGTGCCGATGATGGGGTAGGGATGTCGCGGATGAAAGTGAAGACTAGGGGGGCAGACGTGCACAAATAGGGCTCAACCTTCTCTTGGATAAAAAAGTGCCCCTCAAAAATGAATGACAGTGCCCCCTCAGCAATCTCATCCAAATATATATACACACGTTTTTGAACAATGACAGCCTGTGGCGCGCTCCCTATAT